GTAGGGAAAACACTTGAATTAACTTTATAGGATTGTATTAACAGTTGAAATTGGAAACATAACACATTTTTTTAGATAAAGCAGTGTTACACCTGTCAAAAATTGTAAGGTTCTTCGTCCGTGGGTAGAGTTCCTGGTTTATGTCTTCAGCCTGGAAAGCCCTGGGTGCTTGGAAGCTTTTGTTTTATCTACTGGTATTAGCTTGTGTGATGAGTGTATTAGGTTTGCAGGGCAAGATTTTGGTACAGGAGTGGCTTCATCTGGGGATAGAGTTCATGGTTTATACCTTCAGCCTGGAAAGCCCTGTGTGCTTGAAAGCTTTTCTTTTGTCTACTGGTATTAGCTTGTGTGACAAGTGTATTGGGTTTGCATGGCAAGATTTTGGTACAGGAGTGGCTTCTGTGAGAAGCTGCTAGAAACTTCCCCTGTGTCCAGTAGAATCAACACCAGCCAGCTCCAAGATGGACCTGTTGTTGGCCAAGGCAGAACCATCAGCAACAGTCGTAGCACCTCTGCAATAGAATATTGAAGAAGGGGAAAAAACCTGATGTGTGATAGCACCTGTAGCCAGAGAGAGAAGTGACAATGTGTGAGGAGATAAAACATCCAAGTCAGTGAGGAGGGATGGGGAGGAGGTGCTCCAGAGCAGGGATACCCCTGCAGCCTGTGGTGAAGACCATGGTGAGTCAGGCTGTCCCCTGCAGCCCATGGAGGTTAGTGGTGGAGCAGACATCCACCTGCAGCCTGTGGAGGACCCCACGCTGGAGCAGGTGGATGCCCAAGGGAGATCCATGTGATGGTGTGGGATAGCTGTGCTGGAGCAGGCTCCTGGCAGCATCTGTGGAGAGAGGACACACACTGGAGCAGGTTTTCTGGTGGGACATGTGGCCCTGCAGGTGACTCGTGCTGGAGCAGTCTGTCCCTGAAGGACTGCTCTCCTTGGAAGGACCCGTGCTGGAGCAGTTTGTGAGGAGCTGCAGCCTGCAGGAGGGACTCATACTGGAGAATTTCATGGAGGACTGTCTCCCATGGGAGGAACCCAACACTGCAGCAGGGGGAGGGTGTGAGGAGGCTTCCCCCTGAGGAGCAAGGAGCAGCAGATGCAACACGTGATGAACTGACTGCAACCCTCATTCCCCTCTGCCACTTTGGGGGCAGGCAGGTAGAGAAAATTGAGAGTAAAGTTAAGGCCCTGAAGAAGAGAGGGGTGGGAGAAGGTGGTTTTATTTTATTTCTTTGAAATGAACTTTAGTGAAGAAAACATTTTTCTTATTGCCCAGTTTGACTTGCTTGTGTGTTGCCAGTTGTATGAAGCAAACAGGCAAAATCAGAAGGGACAATTTCTTGGTCCACTCAGAAGAACAAGTCATTGCTGTCTCCTTTTGATTGATTGATGGTGTCATATGTTAAAAGATCTGCTGAGGTGAGGTAACAAATCTTAGTAGCTAAACAGCCTGAGCTTTTAACTGGACTAGAAATTACAAAGGCTTAAATGTGTTCAAATCTTGTTTAGCTGTGTGGTATGTGCTGTGGTCTTGACATCAGGTAGACTTTCAAAAGCTGTTCTACAAATTTCTTTTGAATGTGCCATCTGGAAGCTTCAGATTTTTTCAAGACCTGCTTCAAATGTGAAGCAGGGTGAAGTCAGGCTTCAGGTGAAGGGGTGCCTGTGGAGCAGGGCTGGGTTTGGAGCAAGGGTATGAAATTTGATAGGAGACAAGTCTGGGTTTTGTTTGTGAAATGTGAACCAGGGTGAAGTCAGGCTTCAGGTGAGTGCCTGTAGAGCAGGGCTGGGTTTGGAGCAAGGGTATGAAATTTGATAGGAGACAAGTCTGGGTTTTGTTTGTGTTGGGTTTTTTGTATACATACTTCCACTGAGATCTCAGTGTCTCTTAAACTTCTAAGAAAATAGTAACAATAAACCTTTTCCTTCAAAAAAAAAAAATCTGCATGGAATAACCTCTATTCTTTCAAAACAAAAAATCTGCATGGAATAACCTCTATTTTAGGATTAACTGCTGGTGTTCAGTAGCTTCCTGAAGCCATGTCTTGGTTGTCAGCACACTTTTGAGAACCAAACATCAGAAGCAAAGGAGAAGTTTCTTGTGTCCCTGCTATTATCCATATCTGATACCCAGGGATCATGGAGAGGAAGTCTGACTTGAAAGCAACAGCAAAGAGTAGGGGAAGGGGAAGGACTGGAGCATGCAAATCAGGAGCAAAGAGGAGGGGGATGGGGAAGGACTGGAGCATGCAAATCAGGAGGACAGAACTAAATGCTGATGATTCTGTGGCACCTGGATAGAGACTACATTTGAATGATTCCTTAGCCACCTTTTTTTCTTTTACTGGCTTATTGTGATGTGTATCATGTCACTGACACTCTGTGGAACTGGTAGGTTCTCCAACTAGTGCTTCCCAGATGTCTCAAAACTTGCTGATAGCCCTGAGCACAGAACACAGACTGCCAGTGGCAGGATCCCTTCGGGGTGTGAGCCATGTGACAGGTTTTAGTGCAGGCTTGGAGGCCTGGGGAAGGTCTCAATGTTTGTGTTGACTGCCACCTTCCTTCCTGAGCTGGTGCCACTGTCCTGAAGAAACTGGGAAGGAGGAGCTTAGTGAAAGGGTGGATTGTATACTTCTGTGTTCACTGGCAGAGGGTGTCTATACCCAGTTGTGTTTCCAGCTTTTAATGTTGTCCAGCTTGTTTCTAAGTACAGATAGGACAATTTTACTTAATCATTTTTCTCTTGTGTTTCATTGCTTAATTATGGAAACTCATGAGTTCATCTCATTCTTTTATGCTTCTACAGATAGTTTTTGACTGTAATAATCACTTTTGGTTATCCAAGAGATGGCAGATTTGAGTCATGTGCTCAGTAGCTTTGTTTGCAGGTTTCACATATACATCAGCTTGCTTACATGGCAGATACAGGTTGTAAGACTATAAATGGGAATTCCAGCTGACATTCCCTCAGAAATCCACTCTGCCTCCAGTGGATAGTTGCTAGATCACAAACTTTACTGCAGTTTATTTAAATATCCTGTTAGGAGAAGGTCTGGTCTTCCTATGTCCTACCAGTGACTTCCTATTTGTTCACCCTGATCCATGGAAATGTAATTACGTATTTTATATTCTGTGTTATACTTTGAGAGCCACAACATGTGTTTTCTCTCATTTAAAGGAAATTATCTAACTGCCCGTTGAGGAAAGTGCACAGTACACTTTTTAATAAGCTTTTGTTTTTCTTACAGCAATGCCATCTTAGCTGTAGAAGGGTCATGCCCCAGAGCAGCACCATGGTGGACGTGGGCAAGTGGCCAATCTTCACCTTGCTGTCTCCTCAGGAGATAGCTTCCATTCGGAAGGCCTGTGTGTTTGGGACCTCAGCCAACGAAGCTCTCTACATCACACACAACGACGAGGTGAGCCTGGAGTGAAGGGGAGTCCCTACACTCACTTGTGTTCAGAATTCACAGGATACTTGTAAATTCATAGCTCCTCCAGAGCTTTGTGTGGAATTTGTGCGTTTCAAAACACGTCGGTTTTAACTTGTCTTTTTTTTAGTGTTGTGTGGGTATAATGTAGATGGAGCATTTAGAAAAGTTGCACATGGTAAAAGCCAGGATGGATTCATGCACGTTTGAAGATGGTCAGAATTCAAAAGAACTTGTGGTAGCTTGAAACTAAGTGCAAGCACTAGAGGGATGAAGGTGTAAAATGAGTTTATGGCTTGCAAAGTAACTACAGCAGAAGATTATCTGTGGATATTAAGGATTCAGAGACTCAGTGTGAGTTAGCATTGTGCTGCTGAAAGAAAACAAGCCAGATGTTGTGAGATGTATTAATGGCAGGGTTTCCTGTAAGTCTGGGTAGAGTAGGGTGTTTGAAGTTTTTTCCTCCCCTAAGTCCTGCCATAGCTAACCTTGATATATCATGTGAACCTTCCGTGGTACAGCTGTGTCTGATCTTTACAAACTGCTTTTAAAAGAAGGTGGTGTCATCCACTTTTAATCACAGTTTAATGTTTTTATAGTACAATTCCTGCCAATGAGTAGCCTAGCTTCCAGGTCTGTGTGGATCTGAAGAACTTGGACTCATCACTTCCAGAGTCTCCTCGTGCTGACTCTTGAGCTTGTTATCCTCCACAAGGGGAGTCTCTGGCCCTTGAGAGTCTATGGCAAAACCCTGTCCTGGCATTATGAAGACCTGGATATTATTACCACATCTGTGACTACCTGAGTATAAATCACTTGAAATGAGCATTCCTCTGTTTTTCAGGTCTTTGTTTTTGGGCTGAACTGCAGTAATTGTTTGGGAACTGGAGATAATCAGAGCACGATAGTACCAAAGAAATTAGAAGCATTATGTGGAAAGAAGATTTCCAGTCTCAGTTATGGAAGTGGACCCCATGTTGTACTTTGCACTGAAGGTAGAAAATTAACATTTAGTACAGAAACATAAATTACAGATTAAGTTCCACTTGCATGTAACAAGAATGGATTAAGATGTAATTGTATTAACTGGTTAACTGGGTAATGTACCCTAGGGGGTTCTCATTGGTCTTAAGTGGAACTAAATGTATTCTGCAGTGGGTAAAGTAAGTTTCCATTATGTTGCAGCTGTAGAGTTTTACTCTAATCATTCCTGACATAGTCTTATATGTGTACCTTCCTGTGTTTCCACAATAAATCTAGGGGTTATACTGTGAAATAGGGATATAAAATAGCACACAAAGTATATAAGCTTTTTAAATATAGTTATGATTCTTGTAATAGTTTCACTATTTGTTTATGTCCTTTCACTTTCATGCTGGAGTTTGCCATTTTCTTAGAATGCTGTGTATCTTCCTGGAACTTTTGGTGGCTTGTATCACAAACTGAAATATTTCTGCAGACGGTGAAGTGTATGCTTGGGGACATAATGGTTACAGTCAGCTGGGGAATGGCACAACCAATCAGGGCATCACTCCTGTTCAAGTCTGCACAAATCTGTTGATAAAGAAAGTTGTGGAAGTGGCGTGTGGCTCTCATCATTCCATGGCACTGTCCTTTGATGGAGATGTAAGTTGAAATCTGTTCAAATCTCTTAATCCCCTTCTTGATGTGGGTAGTGCCCGTGACCTTGTAGTCTGAAGTTCTCTATTTCTCTGCAGTGTAGCTGCAACATGACCTGTTCTCCAGCTGCCTCAAACTAGGGTGTCTTTCTCTTCAGACCATACTGGAAAACAAACAAAACAAACAAACAAAAAAGAGAAACAAACAAACAGAAAACCAAACCAACCACAAAACCACCTGAATAAAAGCTTAGTAGACTTCTGTGTCTTTCATTTGTTGTATGTTTCACAGGGATGAGACCAGAAAGCCATGTCACTTACAGGTGAAAGAATGCCTTGCAAGGTGCAAAATGTAACCTTATTTGCTGCAATTCTGTTATTTAAGGAGTATTTTGAGTGGTTTGTAGTAATTTGTTAGTGTTTAGTCTGTTTCTTGTAATCTTCCTGATTTGCACTGGGGTACTGTGAGAGAATGTTTCTCTGCATGCCTGTGAATACTTTTGTTGGTAGCCTTGTGAGAGAGGGCTGGGTGCATGTCCAGGTCTGCTTTGTGCTGTTTGCTCACACAGCCTAAGGCTGTGGGTCATGGGAAATAGGGCACAATTCCCTTCCAGTCAGTCAGCTGTGAGCAGCTTGTGTGTATCTGAGTGTGGCTGTGTGGGACTGCTCAGAGGAAAGCCTGGCTTCTGCTCTGCTTCAACAAAAGGAGAGTTCTCCTTTTAAAACCTTCCTAAAAATGGAAATGGAAACCGTGCTAGTAACCTGAGCATCTCTGGTATGCTTCAGTATGGAGTGCAACACTAATATGAAGTAGCAAACCAGTATTTTGAGGGTAGGAAGGAGACATTGGGTTAATTTAGGTGGTCTGTGTTGTATCTGAAAGGAGAGCCTGCACTTGTGACAGCCTGAAAATGTTTCCTGTTTGATTGGTTAAACTGTAAAATTTGCTAAGCGTGCAGAAAGGAGAGGGTGTTGGTGTGTTGGTTAAACCAGTAGTGCCAGCTGCTGCATGGTGGCTGCTCTGGTGGCCACACTGTCTCTTGTAATAAGTGTGGTGTGCTTGAAATCCCCATGGAAACCAGGAAGTTTTTGTGTTTACCAGGGGGTTGGTATCTGCAGCTTGCTCGCTGCTGGGGCTGCTTAATGCACTATAAATCCATCCCTAGTGTGCCTTGCAGCAGCTTAATGTGTTTGTGCTCTGGGGTTTTTATCTGCACAAGGATTGATTATGCTGAAAGCAGCAAAATGTATTAAGTAGAGTTTTATTTACAGAAAGGTTTGTCTTCAAAATCCTTGTGACTTGATTTGTCTGGCATTTGAGTGGCATTGAACTTGGAAGCATTCATGGAAACACTTGACATAATTCATTGGTGCAGTTGGTTCAGTGCAATTTTAATGCAGTGCAAATAAGGAAAAAAAGAGTATTTTGATAAACTTGGTGGACTGCAGGCATTCATGCTTCTCAGGGAGGAAGCTGAGCAGCTCTTTGGCATTCTGACCTACCTTCTGAGATCCTCATTTATTTTCTGTGTTACTGAAATGAAGATATTTCATAGAGCATCTTCAGAGATGCAGTAGGAATCAAAGATAAGCAGATACAAGTACAAAACCCCAAAGGACTAATGCTTCCTTTTGTTCATGTTGACATGGTAAATGAGTTGTGTTGGTGGGGAGATTTCTTGTTCTTGCCTTCAGTTTGAGCTTCCTTTTGGTGGCAGGGGTGGTGTTGGATTCTAAGGACTGACTTAGTTTAGTGTTGAAGTAAACAGGTGCCTTCTAGCAGCAAAGGATGTGCAGACTTGACATGAGGGTGGCTAGCAGGTACCTGCATGGGTGTTTCCAAGAGGACAGACTTGACTGGGTGAACTAACAAATAGTTCTGTGCCTAACTGTGGGTGTGTACACAGGTCACAAAAATTGAAGGAGAAGAAAATACAAAGCTATAAATTTTTAATAGCAAACTACTTTCCTGTTTAGATGAAAGAAGCCAATATTTTTAGGTTTCTTTTTATTAGTTTGCTAGTCATATTTTGAACTGTCAGAGATTCTGCTTTTTTGCCAGGGCTATTGTGTAAGAGTTTTGCTACTTTGAAACATGGGCTGACAAAAACATCTTCTTGAAAGGTATAAAAGTCTCATACTGTGACACATTTAATAGGAAAATGTTCCTTTTGTTTCCTGCTGTAGTCAGGTGCTCTGATTCTGTAGCCAGAAGCTGAAAAGTGCTGTGTTCATATTTCCTAGATCAGTCCTATTGCTGTTGATAATTTTCAGCTGTTGAAAATGAACTTTAAGCATTTTAGCTCAATAAATAGGATACCATCCCCACTCTGTTGCTGACTACAGTAAGCTTATAATTTATGACTGTCATTACTGGAGGCTTAAACTGCAGGTTTTTTGTCTGTTTTTGTGGACAGCTGTATGCTTGGGGCTATAACAACTGTGGGCAAGTTGGATCTGGATCTACAGCAAACCAGCCAACGCCTCGCAGAGTTTCCAACTGCTTACAGGGGAAAATGGTGGTTGGCATTGCTTGTGGCCAGACCTCCTCCATGGCTGTGATAAACAACGGTGAGGTAAGCACTGCTGCATTCAGATGGTCTCTCTGTGGGACCTGAACTCAGGGGGTTAATGGGTGAACTGGAGACAGGCTGATATGGAGTCCTCAGGTTACACAGTTGGACTGATAGTTATGCCAGAGTTAGGGATAAATTCCATGAGACTCATTTAGGGAAAACTGCAGTTAACTGTTGGTCTCTTTACACTGAACATGCCTTCATATGGCAAAGGCTGTATTGGAAGTTAATTCTTACTGAGTCTGCAACTGCAAGAATTCAAGTAGTTGTATTAAGCATGTCTGTCTTCATTCTTCAAGAGGTTGTTTAACGTGTGTCTTAATTTTTGGAAAGCATGCACCACTAAATACTTAAACTTTCTGCAAGAATACACTGGCTAATCCTGCTTCCCAAACACATTGCTTAATTGCCAGCAACAAAGCCAAACCAAACTTTTGAACATTGCCCCAGTATCATGCAACTGATCTATTTCACATAAGTTGGTGGTGCTGTCTTGCTTCTAGGTATGAACTGTAACCTCAGTTTTACTACATTTCACCAAACTCTGAGTGTAGCATTTCTTTGTGACTGAAGGGACTGTTAAAAGTCCCTGAGGTTGAGATGAGCTTCTGTTGTACATACTTTACCTTGGTGTGTCCAGCATAACAAAACACTAAACTGGGGACCTCAGTTCAGACCAATCCAATAGCTACCAATCAGCTGATCAGAAGAACGAAGTTATTATTTCCTTTAAAAACAAAACAAGCAAAAACCCAGAATAAGTAATAAGGGGAAAGGAAGGTGTAAAAGTCAACAAAGACACTGATGCTGTGGGAGAGATTTTGGTGTAAGTTTATTGCAAAATTCCAGGTCCTTCAAAGACAAATATGTTTTCAGAAAGCTTCCTTGAAGGGCAGATGCAGGATTTAACACTGCACACTCCATCACTGCAGTGTGTTCAGTGTCCTTCAGCCTCCTCCGTATTGCTCTGCAAACAGCTTACAGTTTTTCAGTGAGATGTACTTTTTGACTTTGGCTTGATACTAAACCTTAAATGCTCCCTGCCTCTGCAGAGAAGTGTCTTACTTTGCTTCCCTTTGGGCAGGTGTATGGCTGGGGCTACAATGGCACTGGCCAGCTGGGCCTGGGCAACAACGGGAACCAGCTGACGCCGTGCAGGGTGGCGGCGCTGCACGGGGTCTGCGTGCTCCAGGTGGGTCTCATGGGGGGGAAAAGGCTTCTGTGCTGCTTGCACCTGCTGAAACTGTGCCTTTGGGATCTTACACCTGCCTCTAGAGTTCACAGTTCAGATTGTCAATGTTTTTTGGGCTCCTATAAATTATATTAGGCTTATAAGAAGTGGAAGTCAGCTGTAAAATAATTGGTTTTGTAAATGTTTGATATGGTTTAAAGTTAGTGTAACTATAAGCAAATTATGCTATGGATACAAATTGCATCTTGGTTACAGGTATGAATTAAACAAATGCACTAAGCAAAGACAATAAATGAAGGGGAACAAGATGTTCAAATTATATTCTACATCAATATTCTAATTAGCCCTTCTGAAGTGAAGGAGAATGAGAGTCATGGGTGTGGGTTTGGTTGGGTTTAGTTTTTTTTTTGTTTTCTCTCAGCTAAAGAATAAGACTAAAATTTGGGATTGCCCAGTTTTTTTGTAAGGTTCAGTGGAGTTAATGTGATAACTTGGGTTGAACAATTGTTGGCTGTTGAACCACAGCTCTCAGAGTTTGTATAGTATTCAAAATACCAAATAATGAAAGCTGCAAGATGTGATGATGAAGTTCACTGGCTTTTGTGTGAAGAGTCTGCAACTGAAAGCAAGTAGAGGCTGGGGAGACTTGGCAAGAGTGCAGTAAATTATTTAGGAGTCACCAATGAACACAAAATCAATGAAGTTGGGACTTTTCCAGTACCTACAGTTAACATTTTTTTTGTTAGCTTTAAGTCCTGAGCAATAACATACTGTAGTGCTACATGAAGAATGCCTGAGATGTTTGACCTCAGCCAGGCTGAGGTGATGTGTGCCACCCTTGTGCCTGTGGTGTGTTCTGGTCCGTGTAACCTCCTCCCTTTGCTTACAGATTGCCTGTGGCTATGCGCACACGCTGGCACTAACCGATGAGGGGTTGCTCTATGCCTGGGGAGCTAACACTTATGGGCAGCTGGGAACGGGCAATAAGAGCAACCAGCTAAGCCCGGTGCAGATCATGATGGAAAAAGAAAGGTAATCTTGCTGAAGCTGTGTCTGGGTTGAGAAATCTGAGCATGGGTTGGCAGTCTCCAGCACTAGAAGCGTGCATGTGTGGGGCTTAGTGGGCTGTTTGTTGCTAGTGTTAAAAGCACAGGAAAGGGTGTAACTTACTGCTTGGGGGAGAATGAGTGTTTTTGTTATGATGATTGAAAGTGACCATCCTTTGTTAGAATGAGTGTTTTTGTTATCTGTAATGATGATTGAAAGTGACCATCCTTTGTATTCACCTGATCCTGAAAGAGAATGAAGGAATGGTTGTTGGGCTATTTGAAATATGGCCCCTTTGGTTATAAATATGGAGCAATGAAACTGATAAGCCAAGCTTTTAAGCTGTATTGAGGTCTACATGGAGGGGAGGGAAGGGGGATAGGAGGGAAAGGAAGCACCACCTTTTGTAACAAGTGACATGTGAGGGGAAAACAATTTTCTGGAAGGCTGACAGTAGCCAGCCACATCAAGATAACTCCATTTACAAGTTTGCTAGGGCTAGGGAGAGGTAGTACTGCTTTTTATCAGCAGTACCAGTTAGTAGTTTGTAGTTTCCTTGTTTCCTAGACTCAAAAAGATAACACTTGTCCACCCTCTTTCAACACCCTTGTCATCCTCATATTTGGGATGACTCTCTTGCCGTTCTCCTACAAACTTGGACCTCAGTCACAATCTCTGGGCCCATGTGTATACCTGCAGATTAATGCACCTCAGCTTGGAAACCTCTTAGTCCATAAAACTCTTAACCTGTAAATCTCTTCATTTGTAATCCTCTCAGCTGGGAAACACTTGTTGCAAAAAAAAAAACACCAAGCTGCAGTTGTTTTTTCACTTCCATTTCTGAACTGTCTTTCTGGGAACTCATTCCTATTTTTTCCTGTTTCTCACATTTATTAAATTAAAAGATGCACATCACTGAGTTTATTTAAGAGCTTAGGAATGGGTCGGGGGACAAAAAAGGAGCCAACACAGTAGAAACTACTGAGGTGAGGCTGGTTTGTCTGTGAAGAAACAGACACTAGCAAAGCAAAATGAAATGTTCTTTAAAAAGGCACTGCAAGAGGATGTGTATGTTTGCAAACAGATCAACTTAGTTTTCTTAGCAATTTATTTCTTGAGTAACTAAGGGGAACTGTTGCATTTAGAACTGTATGTGAACTCAAGCATGGCATTATAATAAAACTGACATTTGTTCAGTGACTAAAAGAGGGAAGAATATCATAGAACTTCTGCTTGGTATCTAAGGGAGGGGTAAGTCATTTGAATTCACTCATCTGGCTTGATTTGGCTCCTTTGGGAACAGTGCAGTAAGTGGGTGAACTGCCACTTCCCATGAAGCACATTACTGCTGCTTCTCCTGCTCTTTTAGCTTGTAGAACTCTTTTGTCTTTTATATGTAATGCTGGTGACAGTTCCTTAGGAGGTGGCATTTGATGCTGTCTTGAAGAATATTGCACATATAGATTGTCAGGAGCTTTTAGACTTTGTTTTTCACTCATGTGGAGGAACAGCTATGAGGGTCAGCTTCCTGAAGTTTGATGTTAAGTGTATGCTTAACCTGTTACCCAGCATGTGTACTGCAAGTGTGCTGTACAGGTACTACACATGTGCTACAGTCCATGTTCTACTGTACTTCTTAACTGCAGCCACTCTGAGAGTATGTGCTGCTCAGGAGAGAAAGGTGGGGAAGGAAGTTCAGGTGGATAGCTGTGGTGGAAAGTAAGTTGTCCCTAAATTAATTACTTTATGAAGTCTCTTGCAGAGATGCTGAAAGATCTCAGTGTTGCATAGAGGTTCAGAAACTGATAATCATATAAAACAACCCATTAGTCTTTTATGTGCCAGAAATTACTGATACACATACCAAAAGCTATTTTAGATTCTTTGTGTTTTATCTTGAAATAATTTTTGCACTTGAGACGTGGACTTTGTGCTAAAAGAGCTTTTTGCCTAAAAACCTAACTCTTCATGGATATTCTCTAAAGGAACAAACATTTTGATGTGCATATTCTTAAGACTGCTTGGGAAGACATTTATTTGTCCCAGCTGATTTGTTTCTAGCACAAAAGCATAAAATCCTCTGATGCATTTTTAGCATAGGGGGGAAAAAAAAACCACCCAAACTAACCAAAAAACCAGGAAAGCATAGCTTTGATTTTGGACTAGTGATGGAAATTCCCTGGGTTTTTGATTGTGGTGTGAACAGAGACACTGGAAGTGTCCTTGCTGTCTTTTAATGGAGGAGACCTTCTTCTCAGGTCTTGTAATGTTTCAGACAGCAAGGTAGGGATTGCCTGAGCAAGGGGAGAACAGCATAGATCAGAAGTGTGCATCAGCAGCTCTGATATTTTGAGGAACTGTGAGGTGGGTGAAAATACTGTATAGACTTGATTATTAAAAACAACCATGGCTCTTTGAGAGTGTGGAGTTGGGTGTGTGTTCACCTCTCCTCAAACAAAGCACTGTCCATGTTCCCCCATGAATTTCAGTGTTATGGAAAGGAAACCAACAGCAAAATAAGAAGCCAGAACTGAAGGCAGTAGGTCAGATCTCTATATCAAAAAAACACCCCAACGGATTCAAAGGTGGGTAGAAGGGTTTCTTAATAAAGGGTTTATTGAAAAATGCCTGGAAACTTAATCTGAAAATGAGAGAATTCTTGCAACATTTGTTTGAAAGAGGTTCAGAAAAACGCTCTGCAAAAATCTTATTATTATTAGTTTCCTGCCTCTCCCTAGCTGAAGTTTCATAAGCTCCATAAGCATTTCTTTGTGAGAAAGTGTCTGATGTGCATTTGTTTTAAAGGGGAAAAACCAAATTTACTTTGCTGTGTCTGTGGAAGAAAAGTCAGAATGTCAGCTGATGAGAACAGCATAATTAAAGCAACATCCAATTGCAGTAAAAATCTGCCAGTCCTTTGAAAACATTGCAGATTTTACATTTCCCGAAGCAGTGCCCCGCAGGCGGGACAGAGAAGCGCAGGCGTGCCGGCCGTGGCTGGGCTGGCTGAACGCGGTGAGGCCTCCGGGAGGCGGGCGGGTTCCTGGCGGCGGGTGTCTGACCGGGTCCCTTCTGTTGGCAGGGTGGTGGAGGTGGCCGCC